AGGTGTACGTACACCCTGAGGTGTACGTACACCCTGGAGTGCATGTACACCCCAGAACTCAGAGAAATAGCCGAAAGGAGGCTGTGAGGCCCCAGGCGCTTCTGAGGCAAGAAGCTGTCTGTGTGTATCTTTGGCAGCAAAAAAAGGCAGCCTGTGCTGCAGCAAGGAGACAAAAGAAGGGCAGCAGCAGCAGCAGCAGCAGCAGCAGCAGCCTATGGACGGCCAAAGGGCCCAAAAAGAGCCCAGCTGCAGCAGCGTGGCCCAGTTGCAGCAGCGCTGCAGCTAAATCAGCAGGGCCAGCAGCAGCAGCAGCAGGAGCAGCAGAGCCAAACTTTATGCCTCATTTAGCGCCTAAGGGAGACACAAAACAGCAGCAGCAGCAGCCCTAGTGCATCTTTTTGTCTCTTTTGTCTAATTTAATTGAAGGCTTTTAACTAAAAGTGTGAAGAAGCAAAAAGCAAGCGAAGACGCAAGCAGGGAGAAAATGAAAACTTAAAGGAGACTTCTGGGCCCATTCTGCCTGTAGACTTATTTGCTGCTGCAGCAGCTGCAGGAGCTAAGTGTGTCTCTGTTATAACAAGCTGCTGCGCCTGAAGCTGCCTCCCTTGATAAATTGCTGCAGCAGCTCTTGCTACTTGCTGGTGCAGCAGCTAGACCTGCCTCTGTTGTTACTAGCTGCAGCAGCAGCTAGAGCTCCCTCAACTCGCTGCTGCAGCAGCTAAGCTGTTTCTTTTGTAGTAGCTCCTGCAGCAGCTCAAGCTGCCTTTCTTATACCTAGCGGCTGCACCTAAAGCTGCCTGCTTTGCTGCTTGCTGCTGCTCCCCACAGCCTGCTTTCTTGCTGCTGCAGCGCAGCACGCCCCACAATTACAACCAGCTGCCGCTTCCGCCACCTCTCCAACCAGATCCCCCCTGCTGCTTCTGCTGTTAACTTCTAGACCTCCAAATGAGTACAGAGCTGCATGCTGTTTAGCTAGCTAGCTACTTAGGTAGCTACCTAGGTAGCTACCTAAGTAGCTAGCTAGCCACCTAGCTAGCCAGCTAGCTAGCTCAGAAACTCCGGCAGAGGAAACATGACGTCGCCCCCCTTACATCCACCTCCTAGGACTTCAGGCTAATTCATCTACCTACTAAGAGGGCTACCTAGCTAGCTGCCCAGCTAGCTACCTAGATCTCTGCCCAGCTAGCCAGTAACCTATCTTGCTCGCTAGCCAGCTAGCTAGCCAGCCATATAAGCAGGGAGCCTAACACTGCGCCGCGCGCGCGAAGCGAATCTCGCCCCGCCCACCTAGCTTCGCAGCTCACCACCTGGCGAGTTAGCTAGGTAGATGGCTAGCTAGCTAGCTAGCGAAGGGAATGGATGGAAAGTGTACCTTTAAGACTCGCAGGTTGGTTGGTCTATCCTCCCCCCGGCCAAAACAAATCGCGAAAAGAGAAGGGGCAGCGCACGGCCACGGCGAAACGACAGGGAGCTCTTGGGCTCCTGTGCAATCTGGCCAGCAGCTGAGCCCTTTGGCTCCTCAAAAGGCTTTTATTTTTGTGGAAATTAACATTATTAACATTATTTGAAGATACTAAGGCTCGGCGAGGCCGCGGGAGGACAGCGGCAGCCTGCAGAGGACCCGCTCGGCTCGACCCCCGGCTCCAGCTGTCTAGACACCTCAGAACATGCACTAACAGTCCACGGGCAGGAGACACACACACAACCCAAGCACCCCACAGCTGGTTTAGGGGGGAGGGGGCCCCCCTGGGGGCCCCTCGAAGCGCGCACATACCAGCTAACTACAACGCTCCCGCAGGGCACTCAGCAGCTGGCTGACGAGAAAGCTACCTAGGTAGCTAGCTAGCTGCGAGCTAGCTAGCTAGCTAGCTAGCTAGCTGGCGGGCAAAGCGCTCAGGACTCACGACGCCCACATAGGGCCCCAGCGCTGCATTTTCGCTAGCTTGGACAGCTAGCTGCAAGGGAGCGGAGGAGCCAGGGGGCCCCCACCGGGGGCCCCCTTCTCCTTGAGCCAGCTAGCTAGCTAGCTGGCTAGCTAGCCTACGAAAAGACCCCGCCGCGAAGAAGTCTCGGCGAGTTGAAGCGGGCTAGAACAAGTGAAAGCACTAAATACGAAACTCTGGCTGACCCCCGCTGCTGCTGCTGCTGTTTCGGCGGCTGTTCCGGCTGCAGCTGCTGCTGCTGCAGCTGCTGCTGCTGTTGCAGGGTCACCTGAAGCAAGACTGATCTGGCGAAGGGGCCTCTGGGGCCTCCTTTTGTGGAATGCTGTTGATTTGCGGGCAGGAAGAGGCGCTCGAAGCAGAACTGGGGTTGTGCGCCCCGGCCGGGCTGCTGCTGCTGCTGCTGCTGCAGCTGCTGCTGCTGCTGCTGCTGCTCTTCCACTCGCCCGGGAGGGCCCCGGGGACCTCTGAAACGCGAAGCAAAGAACAAGGCCCTCTAGAATCTAGACGGCAATCCCCAGCAGCAGCGCTGCTGCTGCTGCCGCTAGAACTTACAAAGGGAGGGGCCCCTGGGCTGAGTCCTGGGGGGCAGCCAATGCCCCCCACGGGGAAGGAACTGAACAAAAATGAGAAGTCTTGTTGCAGCTGCAGCAGTACCTGCTGCTGCTGCAGTCGCTCCCGAAGCACCTTCTGCTGTTCTTGCTGCACCTGCTGCTGCAGCAGTTGCTGCTGCTGCTGCAGTTGCTGCTGCTGCTGCAGCTGCTGTTGCTGCTGCAGCTGCTGTTGCACTGCCGTGGACGGCAACGGCAGCACCGCGAGCTGGGCCAGGAGACCCTCTATTCCAAGGTCGGTCTCCGGCGGCGGCGGATCAACGCAGCAGCAGCAGCAGCAGCAGCAAGAGGGGTGACAGCAGTAGAACAGCAGGCAGCAACAGCAGCAGACAGGAAAGAACGAACCGAACAGCGAAACATGAGTGCTCATCCACAGACCCTTTGCTGCTGCTTTTGCTGCTGTTGTTGCTGCTGGTGTTGAAAGACACTGCTGAGGTTACTGCTGTTGCTGCGGCGGCGGCTGCTGCTGCTGCTGCTGCTTCTGCTGTGTCTAGCTCCACTACAGGCTCTACTCTGCTGACGCTTGACTACAGCTACTGGTGCTGCTGTGCGGCTGCTGCTGTCGGCGTGCTGCTGCTGCTGCTGCTGTGCTGCTGCTCTTGCTGCAGCTCCTGCTGCTCACTTGGAACCAACGCTCCGCTGGGCCTCCAAAGTCTGTGGACGGCGACACGGAGACAGCAGTCTTTCAGCCCCAACATAAGAAGTAATTCATTAGGCAGCAGCAGCAGCAGCAGCAGCAGCCAGAAGCAAACATAAAAAGGAGAAGCAGAAACATGAACTGTAGCAGGAGCCCTAGCCCCTCCCCAGCAGACAAGGTTTCCTGCCGGGAGAAGAGGAGCAGCGCGGCTCCGGTAGACGCTACTTAAGTCCTAAACTCTAAACCCTAAACCCTCAAACACACCACTCCCCCCTCACCGCAGCCACTCCCATGAAACACCAAGCCCAAAGCCCTCTCGGGACCCAACCCACGACCCCAACTGAAGGTTTAGTGTTTTTACTTCTTGCTTTAGGGCTTAGGGTTTACCTGCTCAGTCTTCGTCTCGGTGTTCGGCGCTGCAACGGGATTCGCTACCCCGCCCTCCTGCAGCAGCAGCAGCAGCAGCAGCAGCAGTGCGTGGCGTTAACCGCAGCAAGCAGCTCTAGACGGCGAATTTGCTACGGCAAAAATGAGGAGCAGCAAAAGACCTCGCAGGAGCAGCAGCAGCACAAAGCCCACAAGCCTCAACCCCGAGGCTGAACGCGGCAGCAGCTGCTGCGCCGGCCGGGCAACGAGATCGATCGTTCCCGTGGGTCCCTCAGACATGTTTAGTGCTAAGCAGCACTTAAATAGCTTCTTAAGCAGCAAAGAGAGGGTTTATGCAGGGCTGGAGGCGAGCAGCAGCAGCAGCAGCAGCAGGAACAGCAGCACCAGCAGCAGGAACCTCACAGAGGGGGCAGGCTCCACTTCAGCGGTATGTACACCCGACAACGTATTCGGGGGCCTTGGAGGCCCCATTTTTGAATTTGCAAGAATTGAATAACTGCGAGGAGCCGCATTAGTACTGCTGCTGCTGCTGCTGGCGCGGGCGCAGAGCTGCTGCTGCTGCTCCTGCTGCTGCTGCTGCTGTAGTGATCAGTGCGCTGCGCACTGCGGCGTAGTCCAGTGCCACCACGCCGTAGGTGCAGTCTGCCCTGGATTCCTACTCTCCACGGAATGCCATTTCAAATAAAGATATTAAACAGTTAAAAGTGCCAGAGACACTCGAGATGAAGGGTGCTAATTCTTTTACACTAGAGCCTCACCACGCTGCACACAGCCTCACCCAGCCCCAAACCTGTGGCCAGTGCCTTGCTGCCATTAGGCACGGGCGGCACCCAACCAGCTGCAGCAAAACACTTTAAAAATGATTTATCTTCACGAGTGCAAGAAAATAGGGCTTCTCCGGCGGAGTCCGTGGGACGCCGCGGCGCCGCGCGCAGCAGCCTACTCCCCCGCTGCCACCAACCCCCCCAAGTTGCAGATCTCCTGCTGCTGCGTGTTCTGTGGTGGAATTCTCGTTAATTTCGGCTAAGTCCGCGCCCCTAGCCCCGCCCCAGCCCATGTGCTGCAGTGGGGCCTGGGGGCGGGGCCCCAGGGCAGCCACTGGTGCTCTTGTGCCGCAGTGGTCTGTGCAGAAAGGGCTCGCCGGCCTCCCCCCAGCATTTCGGGCCAAAGTCCCCAGCCTCAAATGTGTGCTACAGGACTGCGGCCGCAGCTAAGAAGCTGCAGGGGCAAGAAAGCTGTGGGGCAGCGTTTAGTTCAGTCGAGGCACTTGTGCTGTTTTAACTCAACTGACGAAGTCTAGGCCTAAGGTCAGAAAAGCCCAGGTTGACTGCAACACAGCGGGAATTCGCTAGGGAAACTTTTGCCCCAGGTGGCTGCAGCAAAAGCCACGCCAGGCTGCATTAAAGCTACGCTGGAGGCTACACACCAGATCGGGGGGTCCCGCAAGTGAGATTATCACCTGGAGACACTTTGTCTTTGCGATTCTGCTACTGCCTTTGTGATGCAAAGCAACTTAACTTTGCAACTTAGACAGCCAATGGGGCCAGTAAAGTTCACAGCCTTCCCCTTGCTTGTAACTGCGTTGGAGTTGCAAGAAGGCTGCAAGGCCAGTATACATAGCTTGAGGGAAGAAGAACCCTGCGCTGCATGTTCATCTATTTTCTTTTGGTTAATGAGCTCTTATCCCGCGAATTGCCTTCAGTTATTGCTGGCATGTTCCTGTTGGCATCAGGATATCCTCCTTGGCCTTCGATAGTCCAGCACACATTTGCTTCCATTTGCATTCCGCCGGCACCTGCTGCTGCTCCTCTTTACTTCTGAAGTTGATCGCAAGTTCTCATGACTTCACATGCATTTCCTTTCATGCCTTAACGCAGTGGGCCTCCTCTGCTGCTTTCGCACACTGGCAGCTTCTACAAAACAGCCAGCTTGCAGCCTCGAATTGGGAGATGCCAGCTATTGCGAAGCTGCAGCTATTCCTCTTGGAAGAGGTCCCCACGCCACACTCGTAGACAGCACTTTAAAATAAAAAAATGATTCTGCAGAAGAGCTGGAGTTATGGCCATCTTGAATGCTTTATTCGGAGTGAGGGAAAGCCACTTTGGCCAGAGCCCTTATTGCCCATGCAGGAAGGCCCACAGCACACCATTATTATTGCTTCTTGCACACACACTCAACCAACTTGTCGCAGGTGCTCAGGGTAAAATGAAACAAATGGCAGCAGCACTTCGAGCCTGGCACTGCACCAAATGGTGATTGCTCCCGCACCCTTAGGGGGACGTCTTTTTGCTTCAACAGCAGCTGGCGCCGTGTCCCCTGCGCCCTAAAACCCTAAACAATCTGCATTTTTTGCTCCAGCCTTAACTGCAGTGACTAGAATGGTCCTTGATTCTTTTCAGACCACAGCGGCAACAGAACAGAACCCAACCCACAATCAACATTGAAACGCTTGGGATTTGTAATGTCCTATAATGTCCCTAACCAGCAGAAGGCTTTCTGCCTCCGCTGATTCTTCTACGAAATATTTTTCAGATATAGCTTCAACTGGAGAGAAGAGGCACTGATTTCTTTTTTCTGTGGGAGAAGCAGCTGTTCTGTTTAAAAATAGAAAACTCCTTGAATATCAAAAACCCCATGACCCAAGATTCCCAGGAACGGGCTTTCCGCCTTCCAACCACTACTGCCTCAGCAAAGAAATCTGTAGAGCTCTACTTCGGGCTGTCTTTTACTTTGAATGTGCCACAAACTATTTCGTAGCATGGAAAGCTTCATCTTTCGCTATTTCGCAGCATGCATGTATATTACGGCTTTCGGTGGCCAGCGCTAATAGGAGCGGATTTTTTGTTCTAATTTTTGTCTGCTTCTTTATAATTGAAACTAAAGCTAAAACTCCAGCTTTAGGGAATTAATAATTTCGTCTGCACAAGCCTGGACGGGACACCGACAAAGAAACGACAGGATAAATTCATAAAATGTCAACTTCCTTCATCGGCATTTTCTGCACTTCAGACTGCCTTATCAGCTCCGCAGCGTCTTCCGCTTGCTTCGCATGGACAGCAGGTGGGTAGGTTTTTGTATTTAGACTATCTTCCGTGAAAATACATAGTAGGGGATCAAAATCTTCGCCTTCTTAAAGATTAAAGGAGAGCATTATTTTTGCTTTCGTAGAAGCAATATGAGACGAGGCCACTGTAGTGGTTATGGAACTGCTCCGAAATTGAACATACTTGCTGGAGCAACTTCTTGAACTGTTCCTTCGCCTTTAATCCCGCACTTGACATGATTTGTGGAGCTTACGGGGCTGGGCATGAAAGTGTTGCAATTTCCTGCGATAGTTGTTGTCGTGAGCTGAGCCTAGCTTAGTTCTTGCGCATCTCTCCCATCATCGCTACATTGGTAGGATGTTTGGAATTTTTTGAAGTGCGAAGAGTCCTTTAAGTTAGTAGTTCAAGGTTTGAAACTATTAACTTAAAGGACTCTTCGCACTTCAAGAAACTCCAAACATCCTATCATCATTCTCCAAAGGGTTACAACTGCCCCTCCCTGTGAATTCCCTTACTTGCTTGATCGGGCCACCTATTGCAGCTGTAGAACCTGTTGCCAGCCCTACACTGCAAGCGGGACTCTGGATCACACTAAATTTGACAAAGGATTAAGTTTCTCTGCATGGGAATGACTCAAACTTTCTACGCCAATCTACATATTTTGCATCGTACGACGCTGCAGGGGAAACACTGCAGTGCAGCATTTCCCCTGCTGCTCCAAAACGCAGTTTTCGCGCAGTTCAACACTTAGATTTAAGAGCATTTGACGGACACTATGCTCAACCTGTTGCCACTATTAATGCTTATTTAGGCATGCAGGCTTACAGGATTTGTTTGCCACCAATGCCCAATTCAGACACCCCGTATTCCCGCACTGCATGCATGTCTTGATGCCTTTCACGGAGACTGTGTCGCTATCCGTATTGAAAGACAGTTCTTTTTTGAATTTCTGATGGCTTCTATATATGGCATCACTTTCTTTTGCTCCCTTATAGGCCATTTTTGCAGTAGGACAAAAGTAGGGTTTAAATATCCTTTGTTCTTGGCATTTAATGTAACAGCTTCAGCTGCAGCTGCAGTCTGCATTCTGAAAAAGTTCCGAAAACTTTTTGGTACATTTTGTCGCCACCATCATACGCTGGCGTCCGCTAGCAGCAGTGCTTGAAGGCCTCTGGCATTATGCCCTGCGATGCGAGAAAGCCCGTAATTATATAGCTAAAGCAGCAAATAATGAACTTCAAAATATTCTCCAATGCGGGCAAGGTTAGACTCAGAAATGTATCTAAAGAGTGCTGGTCACCCATATGTGCGTCCTAAGACTAGCATTTAAAATAGTTTATCTATGAATCCTCTATGGTCCCAAATAAACCTGGGTTTCACATGCAACCATATTAATGGTGATTCCTCCAAAAACAAGGAGAAGTGGTTGCTGCTGCCCTTAAGCGATGAATGCACACGGCTGCAGGCTTGCCTGCTCTTTTACCAGATTCTGGGGGTTGTGGTTCTTATTATTTCAGTTTATTATTTGTCTACTTACTCCCCCATATTTATAGCTCTTTACTTTGTTCTCCATGTGATTCAGGGGCGTTCCACTGGGATTTCTCCATTCTCTTTGCACTAAATCTTGCTTGTTTGCCACTTTATTTTTGGCTTTTTTTCCTTTTTTTTCTAAGCCCCACTTGCTGGAGCCGTGAGCGATGCCCAGCAGCGAAGTGCAGATGGCCCTTTTCTTTCTGGGTGCAAATTCTCTGGCGCTTCTGAAAAGCCCCTTTGGTTAGTTTGTTCAGTTGTAAAACCCAGCATCGTAAACACTACTTATTCTGAGCGTCGAGAGTGAGCTAATAGACTAAGAGTAAGAAGCCATATCGTATGCCAAACTTGTGGTTTACCGTGTGTGCTACTGCTTTCTCGTACTTCTGTAGAACACCTAGAAAGTATTCTTCTGTATGGGTAGACTTATTCTGGATTAGTTCTGAAGATATTTTATTTGTTCCCACTTATCACGTCCCCAGGCCGAGCTGCCCTCAAGGAAATCCTTCTCAATCTGTGTTTCATTTTTGACTAATTATTTTAACCATGATTTTTCTTTTATATATACTTTGATTGCTCAGTGAAATTCACCAGGCCTCGCGGAATTGGCCCTGCTGCTCCTCTTATACGAAGCTGGGAAACACGAAAATGTTTAAAGAGACAAAAAGTCCATTAGGAAACAAAAGTGGTTAGGTCCTGAACTTGTGTCAGGGCCAAGCAGTGCAAGACAGCGCTAAGTCCGAGACTTGAGAAAATAAGTTAAGCTGAGCTTTTTCTCTTGCGCTGAGTCTTTGACTATTTGGTTCTATTTGGTTGAAACATAATTTGATAAAGAAAGGGAGCTGAACGAGCTTCTTGCGGGGAGCAAGCTGTTAGTTCCACAAAGTGTTATTGGGCAGAAACTCCAGAATTGCAAAAAAGAAAACAATTAAAAGATAAAGCAAGTCTAGCTGAATCTGCAGCACTCAGAGGTTTCCTTATGTGGCTTTGCAGAGGTTGGGCGGGGCGTGGGGTTAGGGTTTGTGATTTAATTTTCCCCCCACATTTACGATTCAAGGCAATGAGCTACTAGGGTTTAAGACCCCTGATCCCTGGTTTAGAGTTTGGAGCAGAAAGCTTTGAATAAAAGCGCTCTTTTGCGCAGGCCTCTTCCTCTTCTGCACCTTTAGGGTTTAGGGTTTAGGGTTTCTTCTTAATTAAGCGAACAGCAGACAACAATGCTTCCGCCCCTGCAATATATCTCAAATGTCCTTCAAAATGAGGAATTTCTTGGTGCCTGCGTAAAAATGGAAAAATCCTAAAGGAGAAAAGCATTTAGCTGCTAACTCCAGGAGCTGTAAAGACAGCTGAAGACCCCGCGGGCAGCAGTTTCCCCCATGTGCTTTGGGGTGTACGTACACCGCGGCTCCTTGCGTAGGATCCTTTTGTCTGCACTTTGCAGCCCCTCGCGAAGTTTTCTTTAATTTTTAAAAAGTTCAAACATTTTTAAAACCTGGAAGCTACACAGGAAGGCAGCGTAGAACTAAACACTTTTCTGGGGTTTAAAGACGGCTGTGGCTCCCCGACTTTGAGGGTTTATGAAATATAGAGGACTAAACTTTTGAGTACAAAGAACCTGGAGTATTGATTTATTCTATTTGGTGTATTGATTGCTGTAGTTCATTTTTAAGGGACATTTAACCTCCAACTTGGGTCTGTCTTTCTGCATATTCCTTGAAACATTTCCCTCCAATTGCATTTAATTGCTTTTACTGCATTTAATTAATTAATTAATTAATTAATGCAATTTAATTCATCTTCAGCTCCTTCAAAGGCATTTTCTGCACTTCGCCGCAGACACAGCCGCGGCTCCACAGCAGATCCTCTTCCGTTTTGAATTTAAATGATAAAAGTTGGCGAAAAGATGAAGAAAGAAACTCCAGCTGAAATGTTCGTCATTTCTTTTTTTTCTGTTCTTTAGCTTGTTGATTGGTCTTCATGTTCATTGTTTTAATTTCCAAGACCTCAAAACTCCTCCTCAGTTTTTTTTAAAAGTCGAAAATTAAATAATAACTGTGAATAATAATATTATTTGTGTGTCGCTCGGAAGCCCTAGCCATATCCAGCCTCTAGAGGAAGTTTAAGGGACTTTGCTGCTAATAAATACCCCTTTAATATAAAAATAAATAAAGATAATAAAAATATATATTTATATATATGTATAATGCATATATGTTCAGCACCACACGGTGCTGCTGCGCTGCAGCAGCTACTGCTGCTGCAGCAGCAAGCAGCTAGCGAAGCTGCTTTGTGGGGTTTCGGCCAGGCAAAAACAGCAGCGCCGCTGAGACAGAAGAAACTGAGTTTAAGAAAAGCAAAAAATATCTTCGTTTCTGCTGCAGATCGATCAGCCGTCTGGGGTGTACGTACACAACTTGTGGGTACACCTCGCTCGCTCACCAGCTCCACGTACACCCCGCGCCCGCGCTGCATGCGTGCATGCATGCGCCCATGCATGCACGCGTGCATGCATGCATGCATGCATGCACGCATGCGTGTGGGGTGCAAGTGTGGGCTGCAGCAGCTCCAGTGCAGCAGCTGTACTTACACCTTCCAGGTGTACAGAAGGTAGCTTGCGCACTTCGTCAGGTGTACGTACACCTGACGAATTCACGCACTTCAGGTGTACGAACACCTGGTTTTCGCCGCACTTCAGGAGCACGTACACCTGGCTCTTCACGCACTTCAGCTGTACGTGCACCTGGTTTTCTACGCACTTCAGGTGTACGTACACCCGGTGTACGCACCGAGCTGCTGGCGTACACGAACAAGGTGTACGTACACCTGCTGCATGCACACCTGGCTTGTACAGGAGAGGTCCGCAGGCACATCAAGTGTATGTACAGCTCACGCGCACTGAGGTGGCACACGAAGCAGCTGTACGTACCTGAAGTGCATGCACAGCCCCAGTCCCTGTACACCCGACGCGCATGCATGTGCATGCATCCGGTGTACATGCAGGTGGCGTAGGGGGCGCAAGGTGTACGTACACCCCAAAACCCGCTTCCGAGCTTCGCTAATTCGACTGGGGCTTTTCTTCTGCTGCATCTTTTTCGGTGTCTAGGCTTAGCTGCGACAAGCCAGTTCTTATGGTGTCAGTGGACCAGAAGGCCTGCTGCTGCTGCTGCTGCTGCTGCTGCTGCTCCAGCTCCCGCTGCTGCTCCAGCTCCCTCAGCAGGTGCTGCTCCTGCTGGTGCTGCTGACTGTGCTGGTGGCGCTGCACGGGCATCGCCTCTTGTTCTTCATCTTCTTCTTGTTCCTCCTCATCTAGCTGCTGCTGCTGCTGCTGCTGTTGCTGCTGCCCCTCAGTCGAAGCAGCAAACGCCCGCGGCCCCAGCGACTGGCTGTGGTGGAACTGGTCGTACTAAGAGACACAAAGAGAAAAAACTAATGAAAGCAATAAAATAAAAATAAATATAAATAAATATAAATAAATATAAATACATAATTAAAATTAGAAATACAAAAAAAAGAATTTAAACGCACTGGTGTACACGTACAGCTCAGTCAACGTTAACGCGCCCAGTTGCAACTACAGCAGCAGCAGCAGCAGAAACAGCAGCAGCAGCAGAAGTGTTTCAGTGCCAGGGGTTTGAGGGGCCTCTGTGCTGTTTAGATTCATTAAACCCTAAGCCCCAAACTCCCACACTGCAGCAGCAGCAGCAGCAGCAAATAATAACAAGCAGCGACAGAAGCAGCCAGCGACGCACACACATCTAGCAGCAGCAGATGCAGCAACATAGACCCATACCGGCAGCAGCAGAAGCAGCAGCAGCAGCAGCAACAGCAGGTTTAAAGAACAAAATATCTGCTGATGCAGCAAAAGAACTTGAAAGAAAGAAGTGAAAACAGTTTTGCTGCAGTTGAGGTGTACGTACACCCCACGCACCGTCTCAGAGACGAGCCGCAGCGCCCCCAAAAGGTCCGACACTTCTCCGGTGTCCATGAGGTAGTATCTGAACAAATAAATAAATAAATAAATAAATAAATAATAATAAATAAATAATAATAAATAAATAAATAATAAACAATAATTCATAACTAATGGTTGTAAAATGCAAAAAGAATTACTAAATGGCGGTTCGAAGGATGGGCTGCAATGACGGCGGGAGGGCACGGAGATACAAAAATAAACAAACAAACAAATAAATAAATAAATACATAAATAGATTAACAGATAATAATAAATGATTAAATAATAAATAATAAAGAACAAGTAATATACGCGGATATTAGAGAATAATAAAATGAATAAAAATAAACAAAGTCAAGCTCAGCAAGGGGAGATGAAAATGCCAAATGGAGGAAAAATAATAAAAAAGGAAAAGAATAAAGGAAATTAATAAAAGTAATTAAACAAGAAAAAGGAAAATAAGAAATTGGAACAAAAATAAGTAGAGAGATAAGAAGCCACTGCAGCGCGAAAAGACAAACAGAGGGGCCCAAATGGATCAAAATAAAATAAAACAAAACAAATAAACAAAATAAATAAAATAATAAAACTACAAAAGATAATTAATTGATAATTAAATAAAAACTCACTTGGCATGAGACGGCTTCTTCCCCACTGTACAAGTAAAGACATAGGGCTCCTTCATTTGCTGCAGCAGCAACAGCAGCAGCAGCAGCAACAGCAGCAGCATGAAGAGACGCCGACAGATCCAGGAATTTCAAATAGACAGATAAGTAAAAAAACAAAAGGAGACAAATAGGCAAAAAGAGAAAAAAAGAAAGAGGAAAAAGAAAAACAGCGAAAAGAAAAAGAAAAAGAAGAAACAAAAAAAACAAAAAGAAAAACTGAAATGCAGCAAAAGAGAAGAAATAAAAGAGATAAAAAGAAAAGGAGACAGACTCAAAAACGAAAAAATGAACCAACAAAGGAAAGTGTTTTGATTCTGTTTGGATTTGAATTAAATGAATTACATGAATTAAATGATTAAAAACGAAATAAAATGAATCAAGTGAATCCAATGAATAAAAAGAGTAATATGAATTAAATAAATCACACGAACTAAATGAGTCGAACCAAGCAAACGAATCAAATAAAGTAAATGATTTAAACAAATTGAACAAAACGAATTAAACTAATTAATAATAAGAAGAATTAAATAATCAAGCCAACTACATGAATTAAATAAATTACATGAATTAAACAAATTAAATGGATTAGATAAAGTAAGTAATGAAACAAACAAAACAATTACATGCATTAAATAATTAAATAATTGGACAAATTAAATTATTAAACAAATTAAAAAATAAATTAAACAACTAAACAATTAAATAAATCAAATAATTAAGCAAATTAAGTAATCGAATAAATTAAAATATTCAAATAAATCAAATAGTAAGTAATTAAATAACTAAATAATTAGATTAAATTTAAAATTAATTAAGAACTCACCCCTTTTGACAAACCAGCCAAGGGGCCCTCCGCCTCAGCAGCAGTGCTGGGGGGCCCCTCATCGGCCTGCAGCAGAAATAAATAAATAATAAATAAAATTAATTAATTAAATTAATTAAAGTGATAAATAAATAAATAAATAATAGTAAATAAGGGAAAAATAATAAGTATGATGAAGTTGTTTTGAATTTGTTTCTGGTAAATAAATGGCAGAAGTAAAAGCGGCATAAAGGGCAGATAATAAACAGTAAATCCTAAAAGTAAAAAATAATAAATACGACAAATAAACAAATAATAAACAATGAATAAATGAATAAAATAAATAAATAAAAAACAAACAAAATAATAAATGAACAAATGAGTAAATAATAAATACTTGGTGGAAAGAATGAAGGGAAACGCTGCAGTCGAGGTAAAAGAAAGAGACAAAAGAAGAAGACAAATTAGAAAAGAAAATAAAAATAAAAAATAAAGACAGAAAATTTGAAGCCAAATAAAACAAACAATAAAGGAGATGAATAAACAGAAAAGACAAAACAATGAAGAAAGTAAAATGCAGAATAGCCAAATAAGCAGGCAACAAGGACAAAAACACTCGAAAGAAACTGCTGCTGATGCTGCTGCAGCCGCTGCTGCTGCTGCTGCTGCTGCGGCTGCGATCGCCTTTGCGCAGGAACAAAGCGCTCTCCCGCTGCCGCAGCAGGAGCAGCAGCAGCGCCGCGGCTGCAGCAGGAAACGAGGGGATTATACTGCTGCGAGGAAGGAAAAAACTGGGTGAAAAGGGAGAAAAACAATTGGAAAAAAGGAAAATAAAACGAAAAATTCACCGAAATGCCCCCCCCTCGCGGCAAAGCCTGCGGCGGAGGCCGTTGCTCTATATAGCCTTTGTGGCTTATCACAGAAGAGGCGTTAGGGCCTTCTTGAGACCTGCCCTCGCCCGAGTTCCAAATGTTCACCACTGCAAACATGTCTTCGTCGCTCCTGTAAAGGCAAACGTGGAAATAAATGGTTCAAAGATAAACTAATTCTTTCGAAAGACTGGTAAGTGATTTAAAAGGACAAAAATGGAATAAAAAGCAGAAAAAATGAGAAAAAAAGAACCAAAAATGGTTCAAAAAGGACCCAAAGACATGCAAATGCGAAACATGGGGGGGCGTAAATCGGAAGTTTTTAAGATCTAATTTTAAGAAGATTTAAAAGAAATGTTTGAGGACTTGAAGAGGTTTGATATATCATTTTAAAGAAAACAAAAAGCTTTGTAGTGGCATTTTAACCCTTTCTTCGCCCGGAATTGAGAAAAGGAGAAAAGATCTGCTTTTGAAAACAAACGCGAAAATTAAAAGGCTATTCTGAGGCTTTGGGCACTTTAATACACTATTTAAGAGATACGTAAATGATCTAAAAAACCGCTCAACCCTATCTTCGCCCGGAACTGAGAAACGTTTCACATGTGAAAAGAAGTTCGAAAACAAAAAGGCCATTTTGAGGCTTCGGGCACTTTAATATACCATTTAAGAGAGAATTAAATGACCTAAAGGACCATTAAAATCCTATCTTCGCCCGGAATCAAGAAAAGGAAGAAAAAGATTACCTGTCGTCTCCAATGCAGAAAATGAAGTCAATGTCTCCGTGCAAAGTCGACAAAGTCCGCAAAATGCGCTCCACCGCGCGCCCCTTATTTACCCCCAAGAGCTTCACCTCCACGTAGCCTTTGCCGCTGACCACTGTGACAGGGTATCCGAAGAGAAGTTCGCTGAAAACCGAAAAAAAGAATTTGAATTAGTTAAAGTTAATTAAAACTAGTTACAATTCATCAAAGTTAATCAAATAAAAATGTTTAATTACGTTGCTGTCGAAAATCCGCGAAAAATGCCACTTTGCGCTCTTTAAAGAGGGGCTTCAAGCCCCAGGATTCTGCCGAAACCAAAAACCCTAAACCCTAAACCCCAAACCCTAAACCCTCAAGCTTGAGCCTGCGCCGCGAGCCCTCAGGCTTAAGCCGTGGTTTGTGAGCCAGTGGAGGTTCTGTGCAGCTGAGGTTGAAGCACTCGCTGCGGACTGAGAGTTAGGGTTTAGGGTTTAGGGTTTAGGGTTTACCTCAGGTGGCTCGAGAGGTCTTTGGCCTGCAGCTGGCCAAAGTCGGGGTCTGCGTCTCTGTACTGAAACACCAGGGCACTTCCCTAGAAAGCAACAAAGAAACATAATTTAAAAATAAAAATAAATAAATAAATAAATAAATAAATAATGAAGTATACATATAAGTGAAGTAAATACACAGAGGCGAAGTCCTCCGAGGGTTTTCTCGCTGCAATTTAAACTTCGAAGTCTCAACGGACCCTTCTAGGGTTTAGGGTTCGCAATTGGGGTTTAATTCAGTTTCGAAGGGTTTATTAGGGTTTACTAGCGTATCCTAGGGTTTACAAAGGTTTACTAGGGTTTTCTAGGGTTTGTTCTAGGGTTTACTGGGGTTCCCACGCGCTATCTAGGGTCTAGGTTCCCTCGCGTTCTGCCTGTTTAGGGTTTAGGGTTTAGGGTTTCGGGTGTTCCTGAGGCTAAAAGGGTTTACTGTAGCAAACTCGCGTTCTTGTGTTCCCTAGGGCTTAGGGTTTCGCAGGGTTTCCAAGAGCCCTCCAGAGCTCGCTAGGGTTTAGGGTTTGTTAGGGTTTCCCAGACCGCCCTAGGGTTTGCTAGGGTTTGCGCCCGAGGCTCGCTAGGCTTTACTGTTTAGGGTTTAGGGTTTGGGGGGGTTTAAGGCTTGCTAGGGTTTCCCAGGCCGCCCTAGGGTTTGCTAGGGTTTGCGCCTGAGGCTCGCTAGGGTTTAGGGTTTAGGGTTTGCGGGGGTCGCCTGGCGCGTGGCGCCTGCGCGCCTGGCCCGCCGCCCACGCCGCGGGCCCCGTCGGGCCCAGACCTTAGGGTTTAGGGTTTAGGGTTTAGGGTTTACTTTGTTTTCGATGAAAGAGCCCTGGGTTCTCTTCACGTACTGCAGCATCAACTCCATGGCCACGGACTTCCAGGCGAAGTCCGCGTCGGGGCACATGCAGCCCCACTCGTCTCCAGTGATTTTGTCGAGTCTGTAGTAGTAGCCTAAAAAGGCAAAAAAAGGGACCAAAAAGCGAAATTAAAAACGGGTTTTGTCCATTTTGAGTTGTTTCGTTGAATGCAACTCAAGTTTTGATATTTATTTCGAGAAAAAGCGGGAAAAACGCAACAAAACCACCAAAAAAATCAAAATTTGAAGTTCTCATGAGGCCTGAAAGTTGAAACTCGCTGAAAAAGGGTCTAGAACGGGTTTAGAAAATGATACTCAATGAGAAAGAGTTTAGAGAGGGTTTACAGAATAATTAACAGAATCTCAGAAAGGAACTTATAAAGGGCCTCAAATGTCCTTAAAACCCGCTGAAAAAGGGTTTAGAAAATAATTAAAAAGAATCTTAGAAAGGAGCTTAAAAGGGGTCCCAAAGATCCCTAAAACTCGCTGAATAAGGGTTTAGAAAGGGTTTACAAAACAATTAAAAACAGCTCAGAAAGAAGCTTGAAAAGTGCCTCAAAGATTCTTAAAACTCGCCGAAAAAGGGTTTGGAAAGGGTTTAAAAAAAACTTGGGGGGGAGTTAAAAAATGCCTCAAACATCCCTAGAAGTCGCTGAAAAAAGGGTTTAAAAAGGGACTAAAAGCAGCTCAGAAGGGAACTGAAAAAGTGCGTCAAAGACCCCCAAAACTCGCAGAAAAAGGGTTTAAAAAGGGCTCATAAAGAAGCTTAAAAAGTGCCGCAAAGACCTCCAGAACTCGCTGAAAGAGGGTTTCGAAAGGGTTTACAAAACAACTAAAAGCAGCCCGGAAAGGAGCTTAAACAGTGGCTCAAAGACATCCAGAACTCGCTGAAAAAGGGTTTAGAGAGGGTTCAAAAGGGGAAAAAAAGGAGAACGGACCGTGTTCCGCGCAGAGTCCAATGCCCTTCACATCTCGAAACCAATCCTCCAAAAGGCCTCTGTCTCGGCCACTCAAAATGACAATTGTGTTTTTGGGATTTTTCAAAAGAGCTTTTAAACAGCGCTGGACCTGCGCGGAGGGCGGGCGCCCCGCCGCAAACAACTGCTCCCCGTTCTTCTGCCTGCGTGCACTTCGCGCCGCTTTCCGCGAATTTTCAACCAATTCCAACGCCGTTTAAACCCCTAATTGTCTTCTATTTATCTTTTTAACATTTTAAAAACCAATCCAGAAAAAAATCCAGAAAAAACGACACTTGGAAGCCAAAATGCGAGCGGAGAACGATAAAAAAACAAAAGTCCACTTTTGCAACTTTTCGCTCAGCTCATGCATTTTTCTCATTTTAATTAGATCCATTTTATTCTTTTATTTCTATTAAATTTATTTTATTCTTTTATTTCGATTTAATTCATTTCAATCATTTATTTGGGTTTAATTCATTTATAATCTTTCTATTTCAATTAGCTTCATTTTAACCTTTTTAATCATTTCAATTAAATCCACTTGAGTCTTTTCATTATTTCAATTAAATCTATTTCACTTTTTTCCCCTTTTACTTCTCTTTTCGAATTTAACACTCAGGAGCGAATTTGCATAAATTAAATTAATTAAAAACATTTAGAAATAATAAAACAAAAGCTAGAAATAAATAATTCATGTTCAAAAAAGAGATAAAAATAAAACCCAAACAGCAGCGGCAAAACGCGAGGAACGCAAAGCCACCCCTGCACCCCCCAAACCCTAAACCCCAAACCTTATATCCTAAACCCTAAACCCCAAACCCCAAGCCTTAAACCCTAAATCCTAAACTCCAAACCCGAAACCCTAAACCCTAAACCCTAAACCCTCGCTCACATCATGGCGAGGCGCCTCTGGTCTGGGGCCAAAGTGCCTTCGCAGTCGAAGAAGAAAACGCGATGGCGCGAATTCCGGAAAGCCGCCATAACGAGAGAAGTATCCAGATACCTGCCCCAAACCCCAAACCCTAAACCCTAAACCCTAAACCCTCTCCCGAGCCCCCAAAGCCAACCCCGCAACCCCTCCTCCCCAAACCCCATCCGCACACGGCCTTGCACCATGGGCCCCTGCACGCCTTCGCAAGGGTTTAGCGAGGGTTTGGCGCGGGTTTGGCGAGGGTTTAGGGTTTAGGGTTTGGGACCTGAAGTGGGAGTCTATGCCCATCATTCTGTAGGTGTTTCCGAGCCCCATCGAGTGGTAAACGAAGTCGCCGCTCTTTCGAGCTCGCGCCAAATCCAAAACGAAATCTTCTGCCCAATTCAAAGTGCTGTTGTGCTCCAAATGTGTTTTGTCGCGGCTCACCTGAATTAAATAAAAAGAAATTAAATTAATTTAAATAATTAAATTGAATTAATTAAAAGAATTAAACGAAGTTAATTAAATTGAAAAGAATTAAATGAAATTAACTGAAAACAAATGGATTTAATTCAAGTAAAAAGAGTGCTCTTGTGCTTCAAATGTGTTTTGTCGCGGCTCACTTGAATTAAATTAAAAATAATAAAATGAAATTAATTGAAAAAAATTAAATGAAGTTAATTAATCAAAAAGAATTAAATGAATTTAATTGAATTGGAAAGAATTCGATGAAATTGGTTGAAAAGAAAAGAAATGGATTTAATTCAAGTAAAAAGAGTGCTGTTGTGCTCCAAGTGCGTTTTTTCGCGGCCCACCTGAATTGGATTAAATGAAAATAATAAAATGAAGTTAATTGAAAATAACAAAATGAAATCAACTAAAAGAACAAAATGGATTTAATTAAAATAAAAAGAATAAAATGAATTTAATCAAAATAAAAAGAATGAAATGGATGTAATTAAAATAAAAAGAATTAAATGAATTTAATTAAAATAAAAAGTAAAATTTTGTTTTCTCCCCACTCACCGCCAACTCCATGTTTTCCCAACCCGCAATGGCCGTGTCCATCGCCGCAGCCACCGCCTCGCACTGATAAACCACAAACCCTAAACCCTAAACCCTAAACCCTAGACACTGAACAATGAACACGGAACGAGGAACAAGGAACCCTAAACCCTAGCTACTGAACCCTAAACCCTAAACCCTAAACCCTGAACAATGAACCCTGAACAGTGGACAACGAACCCCAAACCCCAAACCCCAAACCCTAAACCCTAAACCCTAAACCCTAAACCCTAAAGCTGACGTTCCAGGGGTTGACGCGGATGGGGGAGGCAAGGGCCCTGGAGCAGCCCGTGAACTCGGAGAGAATAACAGCAGTTCGGGTTTGCATTTCTCTGCAGCAAAAGTATTCAAAAGGGTTTAAGTTCAAACCATCTCGAATGCAAGTGTCGAGGAGACAATCTGCAGCCATGAAGAGGCTGCAGCGCTCCTCCCACTCCACCTCCTGCACCAGCAACTCGATGTGCTCCCGCCCTGCACGCCAAACCCTAATTTAGGGTTTACCCACTAGCGACAACCAGGGTTTGCGACACCCCACAACCTCCACCCAACTCCCTACTCTTCCCACCCCTCTTTCTCCATCTTTTTCACTCTTATTAATTAATTATTTATTATTTATTATTTATTTATTTATTCATCCATTACTAATTAATTAATTAATTAATTAATTAGTTTATTAACTACTTAACGTGTGGGGCGCTGAGGCGCGCGCGAGCCGGGTTCGCCGCGGAGCGGGAAAAAGCGGAAAAAGTCGGAAAAGACTTTTTCTGTGTTCAAAAAGACTTTTTTTGAGTTCAAAAAGTTTGTTTTGAAGTGGCGAAGAGCAAGAGGGAATAAAGGGAGAAAGAAAAGGTTTAAAACGGCGCGAAAAGGGGGAAAAAGGGTCAGAAAAAGCCGAAAAAGAAACGAAAAAGAAACGAAACTCACCGAAATCTGCGTACTTGGCGTTGACCGCGTCGACCAGTTGCTGCAGCTGCGCCGCCAGCTCCGCCGCGTCCGAACGGCCCCAACTCCGGACTGGGTAGGCGTACTGGATGAGGACAATTTTTCCCTGAGTTGTTGCGCGAAAAAGCGAAACTCGGAGGCTTTGAGTGCGCCAAAAGGTCAGCTTGGAGGGTCAATAAACCCTTTTTGACCCCTCAGCCACACGCGGCACTCAACACAGACTCAGACCCCACAAAAGCCACACAGAAAGGCCCCAAACTCGACCCAGTACCCTTTTCCAAACACTCCCAACTAGGGTTTAGGGTTTAGGGTTTGCGCTGGCGTGTTCATAACACTCGAGAAAACGGTATAAACCCCTCTAAGGCAGCCAGGGTTTAGGGTTTAGCCTGGCACACTTGAGAAAACCGTCTGAAGCCCTTTACGGCAGCTAGGGTTTAGGGTTTAGGGTTTACTCTGGCGTATTCATAACACTCGAGAAAACGGTCTAAAGCCCTAATTTTGAGCTGCAGGCCGGCGAGAGGTTCGCAGCGGTCGACGGAGCCGAAGATGAATTTTCCTTTATGTCTTTGTCTGAGTTTCAAGAAAACAAAAAACAAGACAAAAAAATAAATAAATAAATAAAGTGAATACATAGAAAAGAGAAAAGACAAGCGCCCCAAAAGAAGCGCGGAACGCCTCGACATTCGGGTGTACGTACAGCGCCCGAAAGCCGTGCAGCTGCGAAACACCGAAAAGGCATTTTTGGGACTTTCGGGTCAAAACTTGCGCCGAAAGTGTCGAAAGAAACTCCAAAAGCCGAAAAGCAAAACGAAGCCACAATTAAAACCACTTTCCACCAAAAAAGCACCAAAAAAGCGCCGCCCGGCACAAAAACGCATGCGGCTGCATGCGGCTGCATGCGGCTGCATGCGGGGGAGGGAAAGGACCTGATTTCGTCGGCGCGGGCTCTGCAGCTGCTGCTGCGGAGGGCCTTCTGCAGCGAAGAAAACATGACGTGGACGTGGCCCACGCGGACGAAGACGCTGCGGGCCCCGAAGTCGATCGCCAAGAGGCCCCCGCGGCGGAAGGAGTGGTCGAGGCCCAGGAGCCGCTTGCAGGTGACGAGGAAGTGCCGCGCGTACTCGAAAAAGTGAAACCCTATCAGGTCCGCGCACAGCATCCCGCGCAGCAGCTGCAGCAGCAGCAGCAGCAGCAGCAGCAGCGGCGCCGCAGGTGCACCAGCAGCACGAAACCCAA